AAAATACTAACACAAAAGTACCATTATAAAAATTATATTGTAGGATAAATTAGTAAAATTAAGATGTATTTGAGTCTTTTGCTCTATTGTGATGTGTGGAATTGAGGGAAAAAAATCCGCTAAGCCCAAATGGAAACACGCTATATTTCAGTGCATAAGTATGACACACCAAGCCAAGAGACCTGCCACTACTTATCGCTAGAGGAGGGCTTGTGCTCAGTAGGAGCGCACAGAGACAAACATGACAGGTCAAATCATGGTTCCGCTGAAAACAGTGGCAAAGCATCTATGATTTCAACTGGCCAAGATTTAACTCTATGCTCAGTAGTAGCTGTTCACGGGATTGAAATGCAAGAGAATCCATTTGTTTCCCTCAGTTTCTGACTCTTCATGAGGAATCAGCTGCTATCAAAGTTACAGAGAAACTAATATTGAAATAGTATGCCTGTCATCAAGGAGTGGTGAAAAGCAGTTCTTTAAAGTGATTTTGCAAAAGGCCCTAGTTCTTGTGTTCTTCAGTGTGCATGAAGAAAGCCTGAAACATTATTTTCACATTCTCTCTCACCACATGGTCTGTTATTTGTTTGTTTTGTTTTGTTTTATATGAGACATACATTGTTTATAATTACTTTTTGTCTGAGGGCTGTAAGCAGGGCTGGGAGAACAAAGGCACAAAAAGCACAGACTAAAAATCAATACTGAGGAGGGGAAATGACCTTTAGGCGGGCTAATTATAATTAATTTGGTTTGGAAAAAAATCTATTTTCCTCCTATTTTCGACAAAAAAATTCCCTTGTTAAAACATCACTATCCTAACTCTTCAGTGAAGGTTGTGAAAACTTTCATTCCAGTTCTCTTTGACAGATTATGCCCAAATATCTAGGTACCATGAACAAGGAGTGTTTATTAACAACAGATGATATATGGATACTATATCAATCTGAATGTGTGAGCAATACTCAGTGCTACCAAAATTATTAGACACAATGGTGCTGTAGCAGTATTCGTACTCAGCTCTGTATTTATTCTATGCAGCCAAGCCCAGCCCCTACAGACACTCAGAGCTAGGACAGGGATGTTTCCCAGCGTCTCTACTCTGGTGGCAGGAAGGCTGGAGGATTTCCTTTTCCCTCCGTCCAGGTGGCAACTCTCCCCCCCCCTCTCTCCATCAAGGACCTAAGGCAGAGCAGAGGAACCCTTACAAAAGCTCTAAAGGTGGGTGAGTCATATAAGGGGGAAAAGTCTGCAGAGATTGTGTTTCAAGAGTACAGAATCATGTTGCGCTGCAGCTTTACTGAGAAGATGAAGCCCCTCTGGCACACCTCCCTATCCTGCCAGCATGACCTAGTCAGCTGGGAACATAAGGTAAGAGAGGGGAAAAGCAGAACAGAGAGCAGCAGTCTCAAAAAGCCTCAGTGGTGCTTTGCCCAAGCAGTCCAATGGTACCACCACTTAAAGGTGATGCTGCAAAAATTCTTGAATATCAGGACAGCGAGTCAAACAGTTTGACTCCTCACTGATACCACTAGTGAATGTACCAAGGCTCTCCTTAATTTTTGCAAGTAAAGACCTCTTCTCTTATGAGGGGACTCTATTTTCTAGGACATATGATTCCTTTTCTCTCTGATGCTTTAGCTGCGACACTGATAAACTAAAACTAGAGACGAACCATTATATCTGGATGGGAGCATGTATATTCAACTGGAGTAGTGGCAACTTTTTTTTTTTTAAAACACTCTACTTCTCTCTTGTATTTGGAGTAAATTCTATCTTAATTTTAGAACACACAGAATTCTCAGCACAAGAAGCTCTGTCTATAGAAAAAGGTGACAAATATGGAAGCAATTGGGAGAATTGGCAGGTTAAACCAAAATATGTTCATTCAGTTTTGGGGGTAAAGATCCCTAGAAAGTGCAGATTCCAAAACGTGCCAAACATGCCTAAGATTCCACTGAAAGATGACAAAACATGCTGTACACACTAAAAAATTAGTGCCAGGATGTTTAAGTTCTGGGGTGTCATATAAGTAATTGTACACTCTCTTAACCATAAATTACTATTACAAATGTATATTTAATGTCCTGCTGTTAATTTCTGGCCCTTTAAACTACACAGTCTGCTACTGTGAAATAGAAGCATTTGTTAAGAGGGGATAAGTATATTTAATAAATTACAGGGATTAACCTGATCTTAAATTAGTAAAATAATTCAGTCTTTTTAATATTTATTTTCTTGCTGCTGCTCATTTTTTGACAGCTGAAGACATGACAGTTATATAAAAATACTTCAAACAGAGGATCTTCTCAGGGTGGGAAACGCATCTTTTTGTTCTTACTGGTATTTAAGAACTACATTTTCAGTAATTGTCAGACCCATGTTACCAGTCTCAAATTCCCTCTTGCTTCTGAGATAGCACCACCTAGTGACTATTACACATACCGGAGATTGCTGCTTGGCAAAAACCCCCTACGCTGCAAATTCCAGAGCTAGTTGCAAGCAGATGTGAGAATGTGCTGTCACTCATCTTCAAACAAAACACCAGAGATACTGGCAGAAGGCTCATTTCAAGTCAGGGTTACCTGGAAAGATGCAATATGGCTTCCACGTAAATTATTAACTTACACATCAATCAGTAATCTACAAAAAGATGGAAAAACTTGTATCAAGATTATGAATCTTAATCTGTATTTTTTCTGTGTTGTTTTTTTTTTTTTTTTTTTTAGAAATGAAGCACATATTGAGTGGAGGGAGGAGGGCTAAAAGGCAAGGACAGAGTATGATGGGACATTTAAACAGTCACTATTCTTCTGTTTACAAAAGCCTCTTTGTAGAAAGTTAAGAGAATAACATTATCTTTCTTCACTGAGCAGAGATGAAGCAGCATTGCCAGGGATACCTTCTGTTCTCAGCCAAACCTTTCATTCATCTTGCAAGCTGCCAAACCTAAAGCTGGCAACAACCTGATTTTAGCATACAGAGGCCCCAACACAGGATGTGAGTGCCAATTATATTAGACAGCTGGAAAAAATAGAGCAAAATCACAAAGACCTTTAAAAAATAAAACTTACATAAGGGTTTTAAGCTATTCTTATAACATGATGCACAGGAGCATACGCACAGTAATTTTT